TGAGGAGAGGGCGAAGAATCTGCCCTGGGCAGCCCAGGCCCCCGACGACAGCGCACGCCGCCCCTCCCAGGCTGCGCGGGCTCGCGCTCTTCCGCGGCGCCGCCGACGGCTTGGGCGCCGCGGGCGCGCGCTCAAAGGCGCCGCCGCAGCTGCGGTCCTCCTGTTGAGGATCGATGATCGAGGATCGAGGGTCGATGGTCGATCGAGCGATGCTTGAGGATCGAGGGTCGAGAATCAAGGATCGAGGATCGAGGGTCGGGGATCGGGGATCGAGAACGGAAGGTCGGGGGTGGAGGACTGGTCGGGCGGAGCTCGACGGGGCAAGGGGGAGGAAGTCATCAGGGTCAAGGTTGGGCGTTTCGGGTAAACGCAAGAGAAAAGCAAGAGTCGAGTTCGCCAGAACTCGGCCTTGCCGACACCGTTTGACAGGTCCGTCCAAGATATCGGAACGAGCGAGGTACGAGCGTTGACATTGTGTGTTGGGCGAAGCCCCTTAAGGGGGGGGGGTCCAGGGGGGGCGTACGGGGAGGGGATGGGTGACGGAAAGAGCGAGATACGAGTGAGTTCCGTTGAGTTGGGGCGAAGCCCTGAAGGGGGGGTCCACGGGGGGGGCGAGGGACCGGGGCGGGGTCTAATGGTCCTATTTTGGGTGTTTTCCGTTTTTTTTTTTTTCCTATAAATGTTGTTCGGATTCCCCCTCCAGACGGCCGAAGAGCGCTCCAAAAGAGCCCCAGAGCGCCCAAGACGGCTCAAAAGGCCCCCAAGAGGCCCCCAAGAGGCGCCCAAGGGGCGCCCCAAAAGGGCCCCAAGAGGCCACCATCATCGATTTGCCAGAGGCAAACGTACATTTTTAGCATCTACGGGTTTTCGCCTTTCACGGCTTTCCTCCCCTCGTGTGCCTGGTCGGCACACGAGGGGAGGAAGTCGGCGCAGAGCTACGACAAGCGCAGATCGTCACATGTCTTGGCGCAAAAGGTCTCGAAGCACACCGCCAGCCCACATCACACCCAAGAGTATGAGCATCACACGGCCGTTCATTTTGGATATGGATATCGGAGCCCACACGTCAAACATTTGGCGGGGTGTGCGTTCCTACTGGGCATCAGTTTCAAAGGCGAGACACATCAAGGATACCACGTGCCCACCGCAGGACATTTGCTGAAGAGGGGGGAGCTGTCACGATCGAGCAGGGCGCGACCAAGTTGAAAATCCGAGTAGCTCGCCCGCCACTTGCGCCATGGGTCGAAAAGAAGGTACCTCAATGGAGATCCACGATGAGCAAGGTTACCACACATGTCAAGGATTCGATCCTCGCCTCACCATCACGCTTCGCACCGATACTCATGATGGACTTGAACGATCGGTTTCAGAGCGGAGAAGACGGACACGAGGAAGTGGGGCCCTTCCCGACAGGACGCGAAGGAGAAGTAGGACCTCTCAATGCATACATGGCCGTCGCCAGCGCGCACTACGACACAGGCCCTACCTACGACGGCCGCCGCCCTTGAGTCACGGATTAGATCTGCATGCCAGACGGTCTGGTCTTTCGTATTCAGCAGTGACGACGCCCTGCAGTTCAGCCGCAAGTCCAAGGATCACGAGCCGTTGATCGCGAAAGTGGGCCCCCCTATCGCGTCACGCAGACAGCAAGGCGCGCAAATTTCTCGACAAGGAAGCCATGGCCTTGGGCCTACGCGCAAGGAGTTCCTGGCCAGCCTTGAGGACCAACTCGCAGCGCACGCCGAACTATTCGACCTAGACAAAGAGGACGGCACCTACCACTGGGGCCTCACAACGCATTGCTTCCGCGACGCAGACCTGGAGCACTTCGCGGCCGACGTCAAGCGCCCAAAGTGGTACCGAAAAGCCCGCGAAGAGAAACTCCGCCAACTCCAGCAAGGAGCCGAATTGCGTGCACGACGGACCCGCATGGAAGACGCGCAGGCCATCGAACAGGAGATCGAGAAGCTGCGCGAGACCATCCGCGAGATCAGCAAGAAGCTCAAATATCACATCAAGGAAACCAATCGCAAGTGTCAAGAGTTATAATGCGACGATCTACGGGATGCCTGGCGCGATCGAGGACTGGCCGAATGCCGCCGCATCACCGAAGGCATGCTACGACACAATCTTCGAGCTCGCACGCGTTGCTGGGGCGCCCTCCCGAAGTCCCGACCGAGCGCGGCTCGCTGGCAGCAATTCTTGGCTCGACCTGGAGCCGAAGCCAGACTCCTGGCATTCCCGGCCCCGGTCCACGTCCCTGATCGAGACGAGTTACTACCGCGCCCAGTGGACGGGGCCTCGCGCAGTGGCCCGACTCAAGCGAACGGGGTGCATGCGACTGGTGCGAGCGACGTTTTGATTCACGCACCTCTGAGTGCACATGCGAATGGAGAGACGATGGTTTCTGCTACCCCAGCTCCATCGGCTTCAGCGGGCGCTGCTCCCTCGGCTTCCGCGACGAGCGGGGCACCTATTACGGCGCCCTCCTGCGCTGGTTCAGCAGGCTGGGGCGCCCTGGCTTCTGCCCCTCAGGGCGGCGTGCGAGAGGCCACCACGTCGCGAACAGCGCGGATCATAGACGCCAGCGAAGCATCGTTCGATGACATGCTGGACCAGGAGGCCGACGAACAGGACCTCGGGGTCGAGGCGATCGACGCGGGCGGCATGGCGCCGCTCACGCAGGCGCAAGCACTGGGCCCGCCACCTACACCAGCGGGCGTTAGAGCGCGAGCCGTGGCCCCCAGGGGCGCCCACGGGACAGGCAGCGCTTGGGGCCAGACTACGTCGCCGCAGGTTTTGCTGGGCCCTGCCCCAGTTGCACCCGAGCTGTAAACAGCGTGAGGGGCGCGGATCAGTCGCCATGTCTTGCCGACGCTGGAGGTGCCGACGGAGGCGCAGGTGCGGGCTCGTCTTCTGGCGTGCCCTCGGGCCCCCCGAGCGCCGCGGGCCCTCGGGCCGCTGCGGGCGCGAGGGGTGCGGAGCGCGCCGCTGCTGAGGGGCAGCGTGGGTGGGGCCACTGTCGACTGGGGGGGCGACGTGCTGGTTTGGGCGGGGCGGGGGGCGCCCCGCGGCCCCGCCCCCGCGCCAGGGGCAGCCGCGCGGCCGGCCCATCGTGGAGGTAGATGCGAATCACCAGATTCGGACAGTCCCTGAAGACAGCGAAGCAGAACCTGCGCCGAAAGGACTGGAGCTGAACTTCACCATCGAAGCCGCAGAGGAGCTCGCCGCTGTCGCCGTGCTCCTCGGGGAAGCTCAACGCAGGAAGCATGCGCCAGCTTACTCCGTCCCCGCAGAGATCGCGCTCATGGCGCTACAACCTGAACTACGACGACCAGGCCGCGCGCGTGGAGGTCCCGGTGCTGCCATGTCGGGGAGGCTGGCCAGAGGATGCCGACTCGGACGCCCCGCATTGCTGATGAGCATTGCCCGCGCCCGCCAGCGCAACAGAGCGCCGACGCAGGCCAGCGCCTCCCACGGCTTCAGCTCGACAGAGAAAAAGGCGGTTTGGCCCTGGGGGACTGCGTCTCGCCCATTCCTTCGGCGCGTTCTGGAGGTGCTTCTACCGACACCTACGCGAACGATGGCTTCCTTTACCGCCGCCCGACTACGTTTATGGAGGCACCCCCCGCCGACGCCGAGAGCTTGGAATGATCGCGACACGAGTTCGGGCAACTAAGCTTAGGAGTACCAAAATTGCATTCGCAGTCCGCTCCCTCGACGGCGGGAATGCGTTCGGTTGTGCAACACATGGAGCCATTCAAGAACGCTGTCTCCCGACCTTCCGCGCAGGCGACCTACGACTCGCGCTGCAGCGACGGCGACAATCCCAGACCATCGTGGACGCGAGCGACGACGCCCTCATTCTACGCAACCAAGAAGGAGGACTGATGGGCTGTCCAACGAGCCCGACGCCTTCATGAAAGTATACAACCACTACCTCGAAGAGTGGCGCGAGGAAACCCAGGCGACCAACACCGGCATCATGCTCCAGTCCTGCGCGCCGCGGTGGGACCCCGAAGGCCCCGCGCAGGGCGCCAGCCCCGGCGGCTGGCGTCCGCGAAGACCTGGCGGCTGGCAGCCGCCAGGTCTTCGCGGGCGACATTTTGAAATTCCACATCGGCCTCCGCGTAGGGCCCCAGAAGCAAGCCATGGACTCCAACGGCCAGCTCCGCGACGCCAGCATCAACGAGCCCGGCGCCCTCACCCTGACCATCCAGCGCGACCTCGACTCTTTGAAGCAGGTTCTTCAGAAAAGCGGGTTTGGCCTTGGCGACTCGAAGGGGGAGATGGATTTTTTTTTCGGGGCAGCCAGGGGCTATCTCGGCTTCGAGGGGCTTCCACTGTGGCTCAGGAGGCCGCCTGGGGGCCGCCAAGACGCCCCAGGGCAGCCCGAGAGGGTCAGAGACAACCCCAGGACGCCCCCCAAGATGCAACAGGCTGCCTCGAGACAGAGTTCTTACACGGCGCAGGAGCTCGCTCGGGTTGGGCAGCGAGGGCGCGCGCCTCTTTGGCCAACGGTCTTGAATCAGATCCCCATCCCCGTGGTCGGCATCGCCTTGACTCGGTGTCGATCTTGAGCACTCTTTCGGGCTTCTGACGGCGCATCCCTGAGATTGACCATCGTCTCGGGCTGGTCGACCTTGGGGGCAGGGGCCAGTTCGAGGCTGGCTCCTCTGGCCGAGCGCGCACTTGCACCGCGACCCAGACATGCGATCTCCGGATTTCTATACAAAAAAGGTTCCCCAGCAGTCCAGACTTTTCCCCCAGGGGCCGGGTTCTCATCCCAAGTAGCTTTTCGACGCCCCCAGGGCCGCGAAGGCCTCCTGAGGCCGAAAATGGCCCCCAACCTCTTGCCTTGACTTTTCCATGACCCCTGCCTCCTCCTTCCTTCCTTCCTTCCTCCTCCTCCTCTTTTTCTTCCTCTTCCTCCTTGTCCTCCTCCTGCTGCTCCTCCTCCTCTGGCCGAGCGCGCGCCCGCACCGCGGCCCGGCGCTTCCATGGCGAGTGCCGAGGGGGAGGCCTTCCTGCAGGATGGCGCCGGGGCTGGGGCGCGGTCTGGCGAGAGGCGGGCCGGCGGGCGGGAGGCGGGCTGGCAGGAGAGGTGCTCGGGGGCCGTCAAACGGTGCGGTGGCCACACCGTGCTGTGACTCAGTGGAGGTTCCGGGTGGTCGCACGGTTTTGGGGCTCGGGTCCGATGATGTCTCGGGCTATTGGGGTCTCCGGGGTTCTTCGGCCACGCGCAGAGGAGGGTCGGGGGAAGGGGGAAGGCTTCATAGACGGAGGCTGCTTCCTAGAAAGCGCGGGCCTTGTCTACAGATGTGAGGCCGGTGCTTTCTGAGAAGCAGCCTCTTTCTAAGAGGCCTTCCCCTCTCCCCCTGCCCCCTCTGCGCGCCGCCAAGGTCGCAGGCAGAGTCCGAATGCACTGCACAGTCTGTCGACGCACCGGAGGTACTTCTCGGCGTGGCGCGGGCTGTTCATGTACAAGCAGAGCCGCGATTTCGCGGTGTCCGAGCAAGAGAACACGTGAATTTCTCAAGTTCCGCGCGGATTTCTCGGATCGGCGCTTGCCCCCCCCCTGGGCGGCGGCTCGAGCGCCGCCCCTGGCGCGCTCCACGCGCCAGGTAGGGGGGGTCTGCGCGCCAGGGAGGGGGGGTCTGGCGCAGTTCCATGAAATCTGCGCGGTTTCTGATTAGTTGTTCTTATGCAGGGCTTTGTTCCTCTAGGTGTGCCTCGAGATCTCCTTCAGGGGGGCCGTGTGGCTTGTCCTTTTCGGGTCTCCGATCATTTGGGGCCTGAACAAAGACCTGGAGTCGCCATTCTACGAGAGCACTTTCTGGGGGAAGATCCTCGAAAAGAATGGGATCGTCAGCTTTGTCTACACGCTTGCCCCAACCGTTGGCCAGACGATCAGCAATGCTGTGGGCGGCGTGGCTGGAACCCTGACGGCCGCGGCGTTTTCTCTTCTCATGTATCTCGTGTATCCTGACGGATGCAGCGGCGCGGAGAGGTTCGAGCTCTGTTATTTTTTTGGGTGGCTAGCAGGGGCAGCCAGCATAGTGTGTTGCCAGCTGCTCGACGTCGGGATGAGCTTCCGGATATTCTACATTAGCAACTTTGTATATTTTTGGATGGCCTTCTTGAATCCCGACGCTAAGCTGCGGACCGCCCCAGACTCCCCAACGGAGTGGTTCATGGGCCTCGAGTTTGTCGATTGGGGCGGCGAAGCCTACGATGGTGTGGTCGCTATGATCAGTGGGGCCTGTCTGGCGCTGATCGTCACTCTCCTGCCCTACCCCATGAACTCCATGGAGCGGGCACGCGACAGCGCCTTCGCCGCAGTCAGTATGCTCGAGCAGACATGGGCAAAGCTGGCAGATTTCTACCTCGCCAATGACAAGGACGAGAGGCGTCAGGCCATGATGATCTGCTCCATGAAGGCGTTCAAGAACCACGTCTGCAGCCTCAAGGAGTTTTCTGGGAATGACACAATTAGCCTGCGCTGTACCCAACTCGTGTGCAACAACTGACAACAATGTTGGCCAAACATTCTCTACGTGGGCATCCCCACAGGTTCATCTCATAGATCCTGCTATATTCCGCTGAGGAAGTCTGTCTGTGAGCATCTGGGTGTGAGAGCGAGTCCGACAGGCGCGACAACGACGACGACAGCTACCACTGCAGTGGCGTCCTCCTCCTCCTCCTCCTCCTCCTCCTCCTCCTCTGAACATTCTTCAGGGGAGACGACGGAAACACACACATGGAAGAGCGAGGGGGGCATTTGTCTGGCCGTTCTCACTGCGGCAACTCACGCAAACGCGCATTGCGTTGCTACGCCCACTCTCTGGCGTGCTGCTGCGGTGCCGCCTGCTACTGCGGCGCCCCCTGCTGAGTCGGCGCGGATACCCACCATGCTGCCCCCCACGCAGTCCTCGAAAGTGGCGACAGTTTCACATTTCGCACCGCCCCATGCATGGCGAGGTCTGATCTGAACCTACTCGGATATCCACTATGCTGCCCCCGCCCAGCAGCCCTCGACAGTAACGATTGTGTCACATTTCGCAGCCCCCCAAAGGAAGGCGAGGTTTAGTCTGGATCAGCGCGGGTACGCACTGTGCAGGCCACATCCCAGCAACGTTCGAAAGTGGCGACGGCTTCACACGTCGCAGCCCCCCAGGACGGCGAGGTCTAATCTGAACCCGCGCGGATACCCACGATGTTGCTCCCCCCCAGCAGACCTCGAACGCGGAGGCGGTTCCACGGAGGCGAGGCCGAGTTTGAGCCCGCGCGGGTACCCAGCATGTTCCCCAGCAGCCGCCGAAAGTGGCGACGGTTTCAAATCGCCCTTTTCGAGCCCCTCGACGGGACGGCGAGGCAGGAAGCAGGAGGCAGTAAGGAAGAGGAGGACGGAGGCAGCGAGAGGACGCGACCACAGTGCTGCTTCAAAACGGGAACCCAGCACATGAGGCTTGGGGAGCACACGCCCCAAAACAACAAATCAACTCAAAAGGAGCACCTGGAAGCCTCCTGGTGGGAGTCGTGGTTCCTTGGGCTCTGCGGGCGGTCGTGGAGGTCACAGCACCTCTTCTTGACCGAGCTCGAAGCGACCACCAGCCGCTGCATCGAACGCCTCACGCACGTGGTCGACGCGTGCATGCGAGAGCAGTTCGAGGACATCCACGACGAGATGGTGAAGCCCGACATGTGCGGGGACGCCGTGCGGGCCTTGGCCACCTCGGCCAGCGGCCTCCTCGGGCGCGCGCTGGTGCTCGCGGACGACGGCAAGATCCAGGCGGCCGACAGGGATGAGCTGCTGCGGGCGGCGGACGGGGTGCGGGCGGACGAGGTCCACCTGACCAAGAAGATGTGGCAGTCCATCGTCACCATCAACGAGCAGGAGGTGAAGAGGGCCGGCCAGTCGAACCAGACGAGGGACTCGGTGGTCGAGGCCGTGGCCCAGCAGTTGACCGACGAGCAGATCTTCATATTCAGCATCTGCGACTTCGGCAGCAGCGTGCAGGCCTACTCGCGGTGGCTCGCCGAGCAGCACGACGCACCGCTCCCGCCCCGCCACTCCTTCGACTTGATTGCAGGCCTGAAGAGCGTCTTCAAGAAGGACGCCATCTCCTCCTCCTCCTCCTCCTCCTCCTCCTGCCCCTCCCCATCCCCCTCCCGCTCCTCCCTCTACGCCTCGTCCACCCAGTCCTCCCACTTCCTCCTCCCCGTTCCCCCTCCCCCTGCCTCTCCTTTCCCCCATCCCCCTCAAGAAGGACACCATCATGGCAGATGCCAACCTCAACTGTGCGCTCCGTGGAACTCTCTCGATCTTCATCGGCTTCGCCATCGGGTACTGGGGCTACTCTGAGATGATTCCAGCAAAGGACGCCACCATCCCCGGCACGATCGCTGTGCTCCTTTCGCGGTCGCTCACGTCTCCAATCAACAAGAGCCTGGGCCGGCTCCAGGGTGTAGTGCTCGGGAAGTTCTCTGGCCAGTTGGTGTTCGCACTGCTGGGCTGGTGCTATGCCTGGGCGCAGATATCCCTCTCCGCCATCGTCTTATCGTACGTCTGGCTCACCCTGTTCATCTACCACTACACATCTTCCTTCAGCTACCTCGGATGCCTGGCCGCTGCCTTCGGTACGCAAGCCTTCTTGGCTGGGTGCAGCGGCGACGTGGTGCATCCAGACGCGGTCATAATCGTCAACATGCTGATCGCCATCTGGATCATGACGGTCATCGACCTCGCCTTCAGAATGGGCCGCCCCTCGGAGCTGGCCTTCGGGGCCTACCTCGAGGCGTGGGCTGCTTGGGAGCACGTGTTGGAGACCGAAGGCGCAAACAAATTGCACCAAGTAGTTACAAACCGTCGGAGGTCCGGGTGGATCTCTTGGCTACATATTCTGGGTGATGCCGAAGAGAACGGCGCACCACACAAACTCTCGGGTCCTCCGCGCGGACTTCCTGGCGCGGCGCTGCAACCCCCGTGGGGGAGAACGCTGCATGCAAACACAGACTTCCGGAGGGCCGCGCAGATTTCTTGGGTCGGTATGCAGCCCCCTTCGCTGGCGCGCAGAGCGCGCCAGAGGCGGCGCCGGGAGGCGCAGCATTGGGCACCGAAGGCCCCCAAGAGGTTTCCAGGGCCCCCGAGAAGCCTCCAAGAGGCCTTGCACAAGCCCCGAAGCGACCAAGCCCCAAGCGACCCCAAGAAGCCACCAAGCGACCACCACGCGACCACAAGAGGCCCTCCAAGCCCCCAGCGACCCCGAGAAGCCTCCAAGAGGCCTTCAACAGGCCCCCAAGCGGCCCCCGGGAGCCACCAAGAGGCCCGCGGACGTGTGTGCGAGTGGCGCGTGGTTGTCGTGCGGCTCGGAGTCTGAGCTCGGCGCTGCCCGGTGCGGCCCGGCGCCGAGCCAAGAAGGCCGCCTCGGAGGAGCCGACAGCTGCCACTGGAGCCGCCCAGACCTCTGACAGTGGGGGCCCATTCCAAGACGCACCCTGCCTGCCTCCAGGATGCCCCGGGTTTCTTGGTTTGCGATGGTTTTTCAGGGGCGGAAAAGAGGGGGGTGATGACTGGGGGGGGGTGGATATCATGGCGGGGGCCATGATATTTCCCCAGATTTCATGGCGCCTCTTCTTATTTCAATACGTCCCTAGTCCCCCCGCCGGGCCGCTCACATGCCGCCGGTCATTATTTGCACCCCCCCCTCTTTGACGCCCCTCTCTTCGCCACCCCCGAGTTTTGCCATGGCACGCGCCACGCTCCCGCACCAAAAATCCATGGACGCCCCGGGGTCTCAGGGTCGGGTCTCCTGTGAAAGGTCGCTTGTGGACTGGCCTGCGCTGCACACTGCGTGTGCGCCGCCCCCCCACGCCCCCACGGGCGACGCGTGCGCTCAGGAGTCTTATACAGTCGGAGCCCTGAAGAAGGAACCCTTTTCGTTGGGGAGGGGCTCCGCGTTCCTTAAGTGTTTCACAGCTTGCTTCAGGCTTTCCTTATGTTTTCGACAGGAAATCGAAGGTCAACTTATGGAAACAAAGGGGCCTCGTTCCCTATTAAGGGTTCCTTAGGTTAACGCCCCGACTGTAGCACATGCTCGGTAGCGGACGACGCTCTTTGGCCTCACCGCCCGGGTACCGGTGTTCTCTCAGCTGTTTGTGCTGCGTGTTCGGTTCGGACGTGCGCCTCCGACGAGTGCGCTCTGCACAGTGGGGGGGCCATACCAAGAAGCACCCTGCTTGCCTCCAGTGCGCCCTGGGTTTCTTGTGTTTCGATGGTTTTGCTATGGACAGCGTGACGCTTCCGCACCAGAAATCCATGGACGTCCTGGGGTCTCAGGGTTGGGTTTCTCGCGGAAGGTGTTTTGTGGATTGGCCTCCCAGTGTATGTCTTCTGTGTCCCAGTTTCTCTTTCTCCAGGAGAGGCTGCTAACTGTCGAGGACACCCGCGTGGACCCCGTGCAGATCACCACCCTCATCAACAGGGCAGAAACCCTCGCGGACGAGGCCGCGCACGAGCCCCGGCTCTGGAGGGCACCCTTCCCGGGCGCCCTGTTCTCGGAGATGCTCGCCCTTGCGAGGACGATGCGCAAGGAGGTGATCTGCATTCACACCGTCCTCTGCGAGCACAATCGGGACAGCGACGACACCTTCTCGAAGAAGGAGTGGTTCAAGCGTCTTCTTGCAGACGAGGGTTCTGGCTGGTCAGCCTACATGTCGGAGATCCTCAAGGAGGTAGATGCCACCCACGACATGGTCGAAAAGGTTGAGGCACAGAACGGCAAGAAGGTGCCAACATCGATCCAGCATGTCAGACGGCTTTACAACACCAAGATGGAGTCGGGCAACCTCAAGCTGTACAAATCTGGCTTGGCCACCTCCAAGATCCAGGAGATGGCTGCCGAAACGTCGAGCCTGGTTGAGGATGAATTTGCGCAGACGAATTTCGTGTACGGGTGCTTGCAGAGCATCAAAGAAGTTAATTTCCGTATGCAGCTAGAGATCATCAAGCACGGTGTGTGATGTGGGAATGCTCGATGTAGGACCCCCTCAATACGTGTCTTGTAGTTTCTTGCACGGAAGCGAGAATTTCGGAAACATGCATTGTGCAGGTGACCATGTGAATGTCGGTCTCTGCTTTTATCCGATATTCCAGTTTTGGAGGGAAGACTTGGGGTGGATGGCGCTGCGGGGGTGGGCAGACACAGGACCATTGTACTGGTCAATACGGACCTTTCTGGTCCGCACAGCCAGCGACACGACAAAGGAAGCGCGCGCTGAGCGCGATGACGCAACCGCGTGCGTGCGTGTACGCCATTGGTCTTTTTTTCGGAAGGCCCCGCAGGCGCTGCAGATCATGGTGGATCTTCAGGAATGTTGCATGCGCTCAGTGGCCAGAGAGGTTCGCAGCTTTGTACATGCGAGCTGCGTTGGGGTGCTCTCTGGCAATCAATTCATGGTACTTCGCGTGTGCCCGTCCGGGCCAATCTAGCAATGGTCTCTAGGGAGTTCAAGCATGAGGGAGGTGTAGCAGCATGCAGAAAAACATTCATTCGCGCATTCCTCTGTACTGAGTTTTTTGTGGTGAGTTGACAGGCGCCCCGAAGGGGCGTGTGGAATGCCTGCGTGTGGAATGCCTTTTCTGGATTACCCCATAGACCTCGTGAAAGGGAAGATGCGCCAGGAAGGATGTGTGCAACACCAGATTGTAGTGGCGCTGGGAGAGCCCATGTAGCAGAACATCCGTTTTATTCAGAATCGATGTTTTGGCATGTTGTCTCAGACATCTCGTTGAGGTCTCTCGTGAGCAGCTGGCAAGTCACTCAGGAACGATACCTAGGCATGTTGTCATACACAATTGCGTGCGATGACATTCAGTGGAGCAGCCGCCGAGAAGGATCTACTCCGAAATCGGCCGACGACAGTAGAATCCATACAGCACAGCTTCCATTCCATCCAAAACCGTTCTCCAGGCGAGTTGTCAGAGAAGCCTCGCAGGGGCCTGCCGTATTGACCTCTCGAGAGGATAAACAAAAGGAGGCGGAGGAGGAGGCGGAGGCGGAGGCGGAGGAGGAAGATGAGGACTAGGAGGAGGAAGAAGAGGAGGAGGACGACGAGGAAGGGAGGAGGAGAAAAGGAGGCGAATGGTGAGGCGGAGGCCGAACAGGGTGATGATGATGATGATGATGATGATGAGGATTGTGATGATGTTGCTCCTGATGATGATGTTGATGGTGATGCTGATGCTGCTGATAATGACGATGGTGATGGTGATGGTGATGGTTATGATGGTGATGGTGATGATGCAGATTATGCTGATGCTGATGATGATGTTGATGCTGTTAATGATGATGATGATGCTGATGATGATGATGATGATGATGATGATTATGATGATGATACTGTTGATGCTGACGATGCTAAGTTTATTCTGATGGTTGTGATGATGATGAGGGTGATGGTGATGATGGTGACGATGCTGATGCTGTTGTTGACGATGATGATCATGATGATGGTGATGATGACGATGATAATGATGATGATGATGATGATGATGATGATGATGCTGATGATGATGATGATGATGATGATGATGGTGATGATGATGATGATGATGATGATGATGATGATGCTAGTGATGGTGATGCTGATGTTGATAATGATGACGACGAGGATGGATGTGATGATGATGCTGCTGGTAATGATGATGATAATGGTGGTGGTGGTGATGGTAGTGGTGGTGATTATGAGGAGGATGAGGAGGAGGATGGGGGCGATTGGGACGATGCCGATGACGATGACGAGGGTGATGCTGCTGCTGCTGATGATGCTGATGATGCTGACGAGGCGGAGGAGATGCGGATGCGGACGCGGTTGCAGACGATTATGATGATGATGATGATGATGATGATGATGATGATGATGATGATGATGATTATGATGATGATGACGACGATGATGATGATGATGATGACGATGATTGCGATGATGATTATGATGTTGATGATGCTGATCAATCATGATCATGATCGTGTTGAGGACGATGATGACAATTATGAATATAATGATGATAATGATGATGGTCATGATGCTGGTGTTGCTGATGATGATGATGATGCTGATGCTGCTGATGATGTTGATGATGATGGTGCAGATGCTGATATTGCTGGTGTTGCTGATGATGATGGTGATGGTGATGATGACGATGGTGATGCTGATGCTGATGGTGATTGATGGTGATGAGGACGACGACGACGATGAGACTGATGATGATGATGATGTTGATGCTGATTTTGATACTGATGATGATGCTGCTGATGACGATGATGATGATGATGATCATGATGATGATGATGCTGCTGCTGATGATGCTGCTGATGACGATGATGATGACGATGATGATGATGATGATGATGATGATGATGATGATGATGATGATGGTACTGTTGATGCTGACGATGCTAAGTTTATTCTGATGGTTGTGATGATGATGAGGGTGATGGTGATGATGATGACGATGCTGATGCTGTTGTTGACGATGATGATCATGATGATGGTGATGATGACGATGATAATGATGATGATAATGATGATGATGATGATGATGATGATGATGCTAGTGCTGGTGATGCCGATGTTGATAATGATGACGACGAGGATGGATGTGATGATGATGCTGCTGGTAATGATGATGATAATGGTGGTGGTGGTGATGGTAGTGGTGGTGATTATGAGGAGGATGAGGAGGAGGATGGGGGCGATTGGGACGATGCCGATGACGATGACGAGGGTGATGCTGCTGCTGCTGATGATGCTGATGATGCTGTCGAGGCGGAGGAGATGCGGATGCGGACGCGGTTGCAGACGATTATGATGATGATGATTATGATGATGATGACGACGATGATGATGATGATGACGATGATTGCGATGATGATTATGATGTTGATGATGCTGATCAATCATGGTCATGATCGTGTTGAGGACGAGGATGACAATTATGAATATAATGATGATAATGATGATGGTGATGATGATTGTGATACTGATGATGATGATGCTGATGCTGCTGATGATGTTGATGATGATGGTGCTGATGCTGATATTGCTGGTGTTGCTGATGATGATGGTGATGGTGATGATGACGATGGTGATGCTGATGCTGATGGTGATGGATGGTGATGAGGACGACGACGACGATGAGACTGATGATGATGATGTTGATGCTGATTTTGATACTGATGATGCTGCTGATGACGATGATGATGATGATGATGATGATGATGATGATGATCATGATGATGATGATGATGCTGCTGCTGATGATGCTGCTGATGACGATGATGATGACGATGATGATGATGATGATGATGATGATGATGATGATGGAGGAAAGAGCGTGTTCTACCGCTGCTGGCGAAAATCTGAGGGGGGGTCACTGGGGGTTCCCAAACCATCCCCCCCCCCCCCCCCTTCAAAAATTGGGGGGGATCCATGCCGGTTCGAACCCCCCCCCCGTCCATTATGAAAAGAGAGGGATGATCATTACCGCTTGGACCCCCCCATCGCCGCCGGCAAACGATTCCCGCTCCTCGGGACAGTGGGACAGTGGTGGGGACACTGGGACAGTGGTGGGGACGGTGGTGGTGGGGACAGTAGTGTGGAGACACTGGGACAGTGGTGGGGACAGTGGGGACAGTGGTGGGGACGGTGGTGGTGGGGACAGTGGTGAGGGAACAGCGGGACAGTGGGGGGGACAGAGGGGACAGTGGGGCAGTGGTGAGGACGATGGTGGGACAGTGGTACCGTGGGGACAGTGGTGGACAGTGGGGGCAGTGGGGACAGTTGGACAGTGGTGGGGGCAGTAGGGACAGTGGGGCAGTGGTGGGGACGGTAGTGGTGGGGACAGTGGTGAAGGCGGTGGTGAGGACGGTGGTGGGACAGTGGTACAGTGGGGAGAGTGGTGGGAACAGCGGGGACAGTGGGGACAGTTGGACAGTGGTGGGGACAGTGGGGACAGTGGGACAGCACGGTGGGACAGCGGCGGGGACAGTGGGGACAGTTTTGGAAAACACACGTTTTTCTTGTTTTTCCGGTATGGTTTTCCCTTTTCCGTTTTTCCGTTTTCCTTTCTGTCAATTTTTTAGATGATGGTTATGTCATCGCGTGTGCGGCGGTGTGGACATGCTCCACCGAACGCTCCACTGGCAGGGACCGCATGCGTCAGCGCCACCCAGTACAGCGCCTCGTGGCCCCACAGGGAGCTCCACCGGAGGTCCGAGTGGCGGAACTCGTATGCGGTTCCCCAACCTGTACAGCGTTTCGTGGCCCCGTATAAGGGAGCTCCACCGAAGGCTCCAGTGGCAGGGTTGACAGGGTCCGCATGCGTCAACGCCACCCAGGACAGCGCTTCGTGGCCCCATAGGGAGCTCCACCGAAGGCTCCAGTGGCAGGGTCCGCATGCGTCAACGCAGCGTTTCGTGGTCCCATTGGGAAGTCCACCGAAGGCTCCAGTGGTAGGGTCCGCATGCGTCAACGCCACCCAGGACAGCGTTTCGTGGTCCCATAGGGAGCTCCACCGAAGGCTCCAGTGGCAGGGTCCGCGTGCGTCAACGCCACCCTCGAAAAAGGAAAAACTCCCTCCTCTCTTTCTATCCTCCCCTCCTGCCGCCCCCGACCGTGCCGCGATTTCGCGCGGATGCTCGCGGTTCGAAGGCGTTCCCTGCCTGCCACTAGCATGGCGCCTCGCGCCAGCATGGAGCGTTTGGGATCCGAGGTCGAGGTCGTCTCCCAGGTTGGGGGGGGCAAGGGGATGACGATCGAACGAAGGGGGTGAGTCGCGTTCGAAGATCGAGCTCTCGAACGCGAAGCACCTCCCCCCCTCCCCCCCCATCCTCCCTCGATCCGCCCTCCAAGGGCATCGACGAGGATATCAAGCTCAAACGCAAGCGGGCCGCCGAGGCGGCGCTGCTCCGTGCATCCGCGCAGGGCCCCCTTCCTTCCGTGCTTTTCCTCCTCGTCTTCCTCCTCCTCCTCCTCCTCGTCCTCCTCCTCCTCCCCCTATCCTCCTCCTCCTCCGCCTCCTCGTCCTCGTCCTCTTCCTCCTCGTGACTTTCTTCCCCTGCTCCAGCCGTTCCCTCCTCGTCCTTATTCTCTTCCTAGTCCTTCTCCTCGAGCTCCCCCGAGCTCTTCGTGGGCCCTGTCCTGGGCGCCCTTCTGCTTCCCCCCCGCCGAGCCGCCAGTGCTCGAGTGTGTCTGGGTCCCAACTTCCTGCACCTGCCCAGGTGATTTTTTCGGAGGGGGGCGTTGACGTGGGAGCGCGAGGAGAAATTTAGGCATGTGACGTGGGGGGGGATGGCGATCCCTCGAGGGGGAAGGGTGGCAGCGAGAGCGACAGAGAGAAAGAGAGAGAGAGAGAGAGAGAGAGAGAGAGAGAGAGAGAGAGAAATAATGAGGTAGAGAGATAAATGAAAGCAGGGGGAAGCATGAGAGAGAGGGGTGGATGGTCACGAATTGGCGATCGATGGCCGCGCGAACACAGTTACAATGCGTTGGTCATGTGTTGGTCATGTTTTGGTCATGTCGTGGCCATTGTTTAATCATGTTGGAACGGTCTTATCACCCGACGTCGGATGATAAGACCCTTGCCCGGGTGGTCGAGGCGCGCGAGGCCGTGGGCAGCTCATCGGACGACGCCCCGCTGGACACGTTTCTTTTTGTTGCAAGAGGAGGATGAGGAGTAATGGGGAGGAAGAGGATGATGGGGGAAGGACGAGGAGGAAAGAGGAGGAGGGAGAGAGGAAGGAGGAGGACGAGGAGGAAAAATGATGCGGAGGAGGAGGGCGACGATGAGGAGACGGAAGAGGTGGGCAACAGAGAGAAACAGGCAAGACTGCAGAGAGATAGCGGCGAACGGTATCCGAAACACGTCCCGAGAGAGCGGCCGAAGAGGAGGGTGAGGGTATCCCCCTTCCCCCCTCCGACTCCTCGTTGCCCCCCATCGTCTCCAGTCCCGCTCTTCCCTTCCCCACCTCCCGCGCTGCCGCTGCAGGACTCCCACGGCCACATCGAGCAGGCGAAGACGACTTCGATGGGGAAGCTTCTCAAGGCGGGCCTGACCTCCTCCTCCTTGTCCTTCCTCTTCCTCCCCCTTCCCCCTCTTCCTCCTCCTTCCCCTCCTCCTCCTCCTCGTCCCCCTCCTCCTCGTCCTCGCATTCCTCCTCCTCCTCCCATTCCTCCTCCTCCTCCTCCTCCTCCTCCTCCTCCTCCTCCTCCTGTTCCTCCTCGCCTGAGCGGGTCTCCCCCCGCCACGGTGCTTCTCCTCCTCCTCCTCCTCCTCCTCCTCCTCCTCCTCCTCCTCCTCCTCCTCCTCCCCCCCTTCCTCCTCATCCTTCAGATCCAGCAGGGAGGGGCGAGGAACTGCCCCCCCCTCCCCCCCGGCCAGGCGGACATCGAGAGCGCGCAGCAGGCCGACGGGGCGAGCTTGCCGCGTCCTCCTCTTCCCCCCCCCTTCCTGCTGCTGCGCTACTCGGGGGATCCTCATATGAGGATCCCCCGAGTAGCAAAAAACGATCTCCCGAAAACGGCACCCCGATACTCAGGCCAGAAACTCACGCGACACGATCTCCCGAAAACGCGCCCGCCCAATTCAGTGCGCCAAACGATTCTTAAACAATTCGGGGCCACAGACCTGAGGAGCAGGACGGAGAGGATAAGGGACGACGAGGGGGAAGAGGTGGTGGAGGAGGAGGGGGACAGGGGGTGACGAGGAGGAGTTCAAAGGCCTGCGAAGAGGCGTGAAAAACGGAAACGGATACGCACTTAAACAAAAACGCACGTCTACCAGTAGCCATGTAGGCTCGGTTCCCCTGCGCGCAGGCGCGCGGTCATTCGGCATGGGCGGCGCCGGCCTCGAGGCAGCCACCGCCGCGGCGATCGAGCCGTTCGCCGCGTCGCCGAGCTTCCTGAAGTACAGCAACAAGATCCGTCGGGCGCCCATCGACAGGACAGAGACTGAGAAGCAGGCCGACCTGCTGAAGGCGCTCAGGAGAGTGCATCCCAGCGTCAGCCTGAAGAAGCTTTCCATCCCGGCGAGCTTGGACATGGTCGCGACTCGCACGCCTGCAGGCTTCGAGTTCAAGAGCAAGCGCGAGCATAAGCAATGGGTGGAGGAGATGGGCAAACGTCTGCGCGGCATCTGCCACCACGTCCAGCAGTACCGCATCAAGAGGAACGGGGCGCCACTGTGGTTCAAGAGGATCCAGTTCGAGCCGATCGAAGAGGGCGCCGAGGAGGGTGCCGAGGAGGATATGGAATCAGAAATTCAAGATGAGCCTGACGAACCAGTCGATGAGCCAGCCGTGATCAAGAATCCTGTAGCAGCCGCGCGCCCTGCCAGCAAGGCGTTATACGATTACTTCTGGGACAAGGAGAACAAGGTCGCCTGCAGGAGGGGGCGAGGTGCAAAGGCCAGCTCTCACGCAGAGATGGCGATCAATATCGCCTGGAGCGAAGATGCGGCAGGCACTGATCCCGCAGTAGCAACCTTCAAGGACGGCGACCTTTGGATTTGCCTTCGCGTGACGGTTGCCCAGTACAAGAAGGAGACGGCAGCAGCTGGCTCCGCGGCGCCGGCGGCAGCTGGCTCCGCGGCGCCGTCTGGCGACGGCGCGCCGCCTGGCGACGGCGCGCCGCCTGGTGGCGGAGACGATGCCAAAGCAGGCGCCCCTCGCGTCGACATTGCACTCTTCAAGGGCGTCAGCAAGGACAACGAGGCCGTCTTCGTGTGCATGCGGTGGGATAAGCCTAGGGACAAACCCAAAGTGCGCCTGTGCTGCATCAGGGTAGGCGGCTCCCCCCAGCCCTTGCAGATGAACATCGACGCATTCAACCTGCGCCCGCGCGGCGAGCTGGAGTCGGAGAGGCGGTGCGTCGAGCGGTGCAACACGATCGCCGAGTCGTATTGCAACGGCTCCAAGACCCAAGAGGAGTGCAAGCAGACGAAGGTCAAGTGCATGAACGCGCTGGGATCAGCCTGCAAGCCCGCTGCGATGAAGAGGCCGAGCGCTGATGTCGACTCGCAGGGCCAAGGGGGCACGGCCGCGTCATCAGATGAGACTGCCCCAGCGCCAGCTGCAGGTAGACCTGCCAAAGTAGCGAAGCGCCCGAAGGCGCCTGCAGCGCCTGCAGCCCCAGCCCCAGCGAAGCCGCCTGCAATCCCAGAGCCCGCGGCGACGAGTGCGTCGCCAGCTGCAGTTTCTTGCAAAGCCAAGCCTCCGACAAGCAGGCTCGTTGCACCGCCAATGTCGGACGGACTCGAACGAGTGGACTGCGTCCCAGAGGTGCTCCAGCATCATCGCCCCATCGCAATCGAATCAAGCGTCGATCACATCCAAGTGTTGTGAGTCCGCGCGCCGAGTAATGCGACTTCTATAGCTCCCAATCGCAATGGCACCCAAGTCCAGCGAGGAGGGGGGGGGGAGAAGGAGGAAGCATAAGAGCACATAGGAGGAGGAACAGGAGGATAATGTGGAGGAACAGGGGGGCGAGGAGGAGGACGACGCAGCGAGGAACTAGAACGCTGCCGAACGAGCCCTGTTCAACCCTCGCGCCACTGCCCCTTCATCTCCCCGCGTTCCCTCACTCGCGCCGCCCCCCCTGTCATGTCATATTTCGCCTCTTACTCCTCGACCCGGGCGCCACCAGCGACGTTATTAGCGTCGGCGCTCATCGGCGCCAGCGCCAGCGCCGACGCCGGCGCCGACGCCAGCACCAACGCCAGCGACTGCGGCGTCACCAGCGCCAGCGCCTACTCTTATCGCAGCACTGGCGCCAGCGCCGACGCCCGCCCCAACGCCAGGTCGCGCGCCAGCGCCTGCGCCAGCACCGACGCCACCACCAATCCAGACGACCTCTGAAAACGCCGCGCCTATGCTGGCACCAACGCCAGCGCCTGCACTGGCGCGGGCGCCAGCACCGATGCCAGCTGCAGCACTGGCGCATCCGCAAGAAGTGCAGGGGCGTTTACTCGGCCAGCCTGCATGTGCGGTGTGGCGTTCACTCGGCCGGCAGCTTCGATTGCGGCGACGTTTGCTCGGCCGGCCTGAATGCGGTGACGCTTTCTTGGTCGGCGTGAATACGGACAGTAGATGTGGTGACGTTGATTCGGTTGGCCTGAGTGTTGTGATGTTTCTTCGGCCAGCCTGCGCGCGGCGATGGTTGCTCGTTCGGCCTGAGTGCGGCCGCGTTTTCTCGACTCAGCGCCGACGCAAGCACCAGCGCGTCAGCGCCTGCGCCAGCGCCGACGCCACCACGGACGCCGAGAGCTGCGCCTGCGCCAACGCTGACGCCGTCGCCGACGCCAATATTAACGCATGCGATTGCGCCAGCACTAACGCCCGCGCCGGCCCCAGCGCCGACGACAGCACCGGGTTGCCAGACAGCGGCCCCGGCAACGGGGCCGCCGGGAGCGCCGGGCGCGCCGCCGGGGCCGCCGGGCCCGCCGAGCAGGGCGCCCGCGGTTCCGCGCCGGCTGCAGCGCGACCCGCAAGCGCGGTCACGGGCTTACTGCCCGCGGCGCGGTTGTTGGGCCACGTCTCTGGCAATCGGCCGCGCGGGATCGGCAGGCCGGGGCCGAAGCCGCTGGGCGACCTGCTGGGCTGGGGGCCAGGCGCCAATCCAGCGGCGTCGGCGGCGCGGCCCCGGGCGCCGCCCAGGCGGCCTGGGCGCTCCCAGGCGGCCTGGGCGCCCGCGATCTCCAATGCGATGGAGATCGTGGCCGATTACTGGCGGCCCCCGCGGGCCCCTTGGCGCCGCCGGCAGGGCGCGCGCCGCGGCGCAGTTCCGGCGGCGTCGGCGGGGGCCCCCGGCGGCCCGGGCGCCCCCCGGGCGGCGCTGGGCGCCCGCGATCTCCAGAGCGATGTGGGAGATCGTGGCCGATCGGCGGCCCCCGCGGGTCCCTTGGCGCCCAGGCAGCGGCCTCGCCGCGCCAGGGCGCAGCTCTGTCGGCGTCGGCGGCGGCCCCGGCGCCCCCTGGCGGCAGTAGGCGCCCG